TTTTTTTTATTTGTCAATCAGGTAATCAATTCACTATCAGGCTAATCTGTGGTTGTTCATCTGAACTAATCAATCATCCAGTAATCTCCTTATTTGGAATTTACCTGTCTATTTCCCTGGCATCCAGTACTTTTCCAGTAGGATAACACTTTTGGGTTTCAGTCTAGTTGGTGGCAGGGCAGCAGTCTCAGTCAGTCCTTCTTAACCCCGGATACTAACAAGCACACAAGCCAAAAAGAGTTAAAACTCTAACAGTACAGAGAAGTGATCAATATAAATGAATGAATTCTACAATGGAGAATTTTTCTTCATATTGCCCCATAGCTCAAAATCAAATGGCCCATTTCCTATTTTCTTTCCATAATGGAGTCTTTGTATTTGTTACAAATGTTTCTCTGTGGTTAATAAAGATGAGTGGGGTACCTGATTGGGGTTGAACACAGGATGGTTCATGAAGAAATGTCCAGATGCTACTCATTCAAGATATCATGGTTCAGTGTATGAATCTGTTCGTCAGTGAGACTGTGAAACACAAATGCCATTTAGAAATGTGGGGTTTTCCCCCAGTCTGCTCATACTTCTGAAACTTCTGGCACGTTGCCTCCACGTTTTGCATTCTGTCATACAATAACCGTCAATAACAGATCAGTGGTCATGTACCTTATTGAACAAACAATAAATCATTATAGAGTAATGATCTGTTCTGATGTGTGTTTTTTAAACCCTCCTTGTGTGATCAGTTAAGTTGACTCTTCCTTACAGTTTACTCATATTTCCATGCTTATGTTCCTACAGCATATCTTATTTAATTAATGGTTGACCTCACATTACAATAATATTGCACTTGCAGTATATTTAAGGTCCATGTGGAGACGTCACAAAGCTCATCTTCTCTAAAAATGTCACTGTATAACGATAAGTATTTTTCAACGAATCACAGGTGTTCACTGTCTGGCCCTGCAGCATGGGGTCCTCTGGTTCGTCGTATAAACACAGACAACTACATTACCCAGAATTCCAGACGAGAAGATTCCGGTCACGTGATGAAGTGTCACATGCTCCTCTGCTTTGAGAGAGCTCAGTCATTAACCTGCGGTGGAGGCTGTGTAAGGTACTGTTCCTCGTATTTTATCCTCTAAACATCACTAGAAAAGCGACAACATCACAGTGAACATAACCGAGGAAGAGCTGTTTAAACGTGTGTTTGGTGGATAAATGAGATTACTTGTATTTAGTGTCTGGCTAGGTGTAGCGTTTGCTAGCTAGCTATTGTAGGACGCAGAGTAACAAAGGGGCTGATTGCGTTAACAGAAGTTATTGTTACGTTAATGAAAAGAAAAGCAATGATCTAATCACACTAAAAGTTGGGGGTATTTAACCGGTATTGCTTGTGGGCAGCTGAAGGTGTGTTTGTGTGGAATAAGCCGGCAGTAAATGAAACCGAGGTCATCTGGACATCATCCGCACCTTCTTCACTCCTCTTTAACGTTGGCTTTACTTTATCTTTCACCGTTTCTGTCGACATTATTTGAGCTCATTTGGGATTTATTGAGACCTCCACGCAGCACACTTTCCACATCGTGTTCGGTATGTTGTTGTTTTTGAGATTGATGTTTGTTCTCGAGCCCACTGTGGTATCACATGGTCTTTTAAAGGACATTTCTCTAAATACAGTGGCATAAGACAAGTGTCAGGGTCTTAAATAATATCGTCTGATTACCTTTACCTAGCCTGGCTTGTATGAAAGGCTTAACCCTCTTCCACTTGTGTTCTCTAACATGCATATCAGTATTAATGGCAGCCTGTATTGTTGTGGAAATACTTGTTTAGCTGTATGACTTGAGGCTTTATGTCTCTTTCCCAGGTCTGTAATATTTAAAACTACCATGGTGTTATTTGGGTGAAGGTATGCACTGATATTGGTAATGTAGTGCTTCAGGCCACCCCCGTGCTCCTGTGTATTTACTTCAAACACACAAGGTGCTTGTTAGTAGAGCACGAGAAACAATTAAGGAACTGGCTCATTAAAACGTTGCTCTAAGGAACCACCAGTGTTCAAAAACTCCACAAGAAAACCTTTTAATATTCTCACAAAGACGGCATGGGCTAATCATTTGCAGGTTTCATGTCAGAAAAAACTAAACAACCTACTGTTTGACAAGAAAATTGATGTTCATTTTTGGTTAAGAATTACTGTTTTATATATTACATTTCTTCCAAGAACATAGAGATAAAGTGCGGTACTAAAAACCACCTTCTGTGTTTGACATTTATTAACAACAATACAAATAACTACTGACTGTACATACATTTACACTGTATCTTGATATGATATCAGCACTGTGCTGATGCAGTTTATATTTGCCATTGCAAGTATCTCTAAATGCAAACAATATTTCATTACAGATTACCGATCAGCTCCACCATCATACCGACACTGGTGAGAAACATCAGCTGCTTCCTGACTGGTGTGGTTTGGACATAAAATATTAACTGCTACTGTGCGATTCCCTGTCCCCTTACTCAGACCTTCTGGTCAACTTTTCAACTCCACTTGGATCCATAGAGTTGGAGACTAACTTCCTTGGGTGTGTAAGGCTTGGCAGGCCGAGCTACAGCCTGTTGACTCATGGCGATTAACACTGATGTCGAGGACTGGGGAGGAGTTGGGAGTAATGACTCTGGCGAAAGAGCGTGGCTCTTGCAGAGCCCCAGCGTGGATTCTGACCGGCATCTTGAGACGGACAGGACGAGGAGCGGGGGCGTGTCCTCTTTGGGAGCTGTATTCATCGTAGTGAACGCGGCGCTGGGAGCAGGTCTACTCAATTTCCCCGCAGCCTTCAATATGGCAGGAGGTGTAACTGCGGGAGTGATGCTTCAGATGGTGAGGAGATCCCAGTGAGGCACACATTCCTCTGCAGCCCCTTTCCCCACCGCATGAGACACATGTTCAGACAATAAACCTTTGGTTTAATGTGATAAATTGGGCTGCAACCCCATTATTTAGTGTATAAGATGTTGACAAATGCTAATCTGACATTTCTAGAGGCCAAAGGGATAAACACTTAATTTCATCTCACTAAAAAAAGATGTTTTACTTCATAATTGACTGAAAATTTTCATTTGATTTAATTAGATTTCAAAGACTGACTTTGACATATGTGCAGACACACAGTACTTTAAACTGAATAGCAGAGATGATAACAGCTGACAGTCTGGATGTATATTCTGTTTTCTTGTGACCAACACAAATGCGCCTATAGACAATAATTATCGGGAACTATAATGTGATGCTTCCTGTTTCTTTGTTTCAGTTTATGCTGATCTTCATAATCAGTGGACTGGTGATCCTGGGCTACTGCTCTCAGGTTTGTGTCACTGTCAGACTTCCTGAAAGGCTTTCCATCTCTTCCTCTTCCACTTGTTTCTCTTTCATTTCTGCTGCCTTTTTTAAAATCTGACTACTTTTCTGTCACGTGAGTATTTTTCCTTCAGGAGTGGTGAAATAATTGGAGCAGCCTTGTGTAACAACTTGGTTTTCCGGTTGTATTCCTGATCAAACGTAGTGCATTGCACAAAAGCTCAGACTTTCGCTTCCTGATGGCTCAGACTTTTGCTTACATGTCAAAACAGAATCCAAGTTTGAGTCAGTTAAATATGTTTTAGTTGTTGATCACTTTATAGATATTTCATTGTATTACCCAGTTTGGCTTTAACATATCAATCTCTGCCATATTCAGCTGTAGGGTGAACTTTGTGTTAAAGCATGTGCTACCACAAGAATTGCTGACTTCATCAGTATGATTAACTGCCTGTACTCAACAGCCTAAAACCATTACGTAGGCTATAACCAAACTTTAAACTGAAGATGATACAGTCAGCAGTGTGCCTCCTGCTGCAGGTTTGTGGAGTGGAGAGAAACACCTGTGAGCAGCTGGTTGACAAAACACGTCAGTTTTACTTGCTGGAAAGATCAGATAAAAAGAAATGACCACAGGACAAACAACCAGTCAATTTCACCCTTTTTGTATGGTTGGCAACAAGAGCTTGTCAAATCTTAAAGCACATGAGCGATAGCAACAGAAGATTGTTTGGTTTTTACAGTTGGCAGCAAAAAAAGAATGAAACTACCGTGGGCACGTAATTGAGAAAATAGGCAGCTGATGATTAGAGTACTGTTCCTGGATCTGGTGAATTCCTGTTTCTGTTTTTGAGACAATGTCAGAAATTTGTATGATGCTGGTTGTGTTTTTAATGCTTTCATGGTAGCATTTTGAGCCTCACTAATGACTCAGCATTGTATAAAAGCCGGTTACCTAAGACATTGTTAGCTCTTCAGGTACATCAAGGCCTCAGTTTACTGTAATTCAAATGGATAATTCAGTATGTTACTGCACCATCTCACAACGCATCCATCATCTCATAATGATCATCGATACCAGACAGTGACTTTGATTTACTCCACTGGCTCCAGGATGTTTTTCTTTACCTTGACACAAAGTCCACAGCCTTGCACTGTATTGCTTTGAGTACATTCAACCCTACTGTGTATGTAGACAGATTATAACTTGAATGTCCACTTTTCAATCATCCGTCTGGTTTCTTCAGGTCAGTAACGAAAGCACCTATCAGGAGGTTGTCCGAGCCGCTTGTGGGAAAGTCACAGGCGTCATATGTGAAGTAGCTATTGCTGTCTACACCTTTGGGACTTGCATTGCTTTCTTTATTGTCATTGGAGACCAGCTGGATCGCTGTAAGTATATTCACAGTCAATCACCCACCAGCCACACTGTTTCTTTCTAATTTGATTAGACAACAGTTTAGCTCTGTGTAATTGTCATTGCTTGCTGTTGTGTCACCTGCATTTACACTGACTGATTGCCCTACATTTTAGCAATCTGTATTTGTGGAGGAGGGGGAGGACAAAGGAGGGTGTTTAGTAGTAGAAGTGTTGATAACCTTTTTAAAAGCTGTGCCATCATTCATGAGGGCAAAGAGCGTCAAGGATGACACCACTCAGTACATGGAAATCTAACAGTTTGTCACATGAGGGACACATTTCCTAAGACGCTGACAGTGTGAAATCCTACTCTGGCCTGTTTCTAGAAATAGACTGTGACCTTTCACCTCTTTTGGATTGAATGAATAAAGTGGTTGTGACTTTAATTATCTACTTTGCTAAATCTCTTCCATGTGTACAGCAGTTAACAGTTAATTTCCACTGTGGGACTCTCTATTCCCTTCTGTCGTTTTTTTTTTCTTGCAGTGATAGCTGCAATGGCTCATGAATCCGATACTACAGTCAACGGCTACTGGTACACTGACCGTAAATTTACCATTGTTGTTACTGCCGTCCTGCTTATTCTTCCTCTCTCCATCCCCAAAGAGATTGGCTTTCAGAAGTATGCCAGGTACAAACATCGCTTATTTTTTTCACTGAGGATTTAAAAACTTTTACCATGCATGGCGTTCATTTCTGAGTTGTTGTTGTTGTTGTTGTTGTTCATTGTAGCGCACTGAGTGTGATGGGAACCTGGTATGTTACCATCGTGGTCATTATAAAGTACATCTGGCCGGATAGAGAGGTGACTCCGGGCTATGTTCCCACGAGGTGAGTTCTGCTGCTCACATTTCATGACACTGCGCTTATTTTATGCAGCTAACAGCTTTATAAAAATGTTTTATTGATCATTTGAGCATTGACCACCCGCTCATTCAAGCAGAAACATCTGCATCTTCGTCGTCATGCTATGCTTGAGTTGTTTAAATCGTTGTGTTTGTTACAGTTCTTCTTCCTGGACTGCAGTTTTCAATGCAATGCCCACCATATGCTTTGGTTTCCAGGTATCTCTTCATTTGGTATCATTTGAGATCATAAAACTATATAACTATTCTTTTGAACAGTTTGATACTGATGAATTATTTTTGTCTTGATCTCTCTCTGCAGTGCCATGTCAGCTGTGTGCCAGTGTTCGACAGCATGAGCAGAAAAGAGATCAAACCTTGGGGCGTTGTAGTCACACTCAGCATGATCATTTGTCTCTTTGTTTACACAGGAACAGGTATTATCAATGTTTGCACTCATTGGTCAATCGACGCTCAGTATTGTACCGAATAACTCTTCGATGAGTCTCACAGTTATTGACTCGTGAATACTTTTAGGAAATTGCTTGCTTACAGTCGTGATAAACCAGCTGATAAAATGAAAATATCTGTTTAACAAATCAAACTTTATATCACATTTTAGATCAGTTGTCCAATTTACTGGTTTTCTTGTCACATGGATCAGATATAAAGTATTTCCTAATCTTCAACATGTAACAGGTCTTAATGTTTCAGTTCAGATTACGCTGATGGCAATATAGCTGGCTCATGACTGGCTGTCAATACTTAAATGCTTGTTGTGTTTTGTGTTGGATCAGGTGTCTGTGGCTTCCTGACATTCGGCTCCAATGTCAATCAAGATGTGTTGATGTCATACCCTCCCGATGATATCGCAGTGGCCATCGCAAGAGCTTTTATTGTCATCTGTGTCATCACCTCCTACCCCATTTTACACTTCTGTGGCAGGTAAGATGCAGTGATATCCACACATTTGGTCTTCCTGTTCAGCATACTGTTTCTCAGTCACTCTTGTTAAGATTTTAAAATTGCACAAGCTTAAAAATAATGTTGATGTATAAATATTTCTACCTATAGTACAGTGATTTGGAATTACAGCCTTGTGTTACCTTACATACAAGAATGATCCAGATCAGTGGCATACAGAGAGATATACAGGGTTTAGAGTATTGGAATCTTCATTGGGAAAGAAAAGATGGGATCAGTGCATTCCTAGTGTGTGATAAAGACGCAGTTAATGCTGCATTTCCTCACTGCACTCTGGTGTCATCATGTGTCCCTCCAGGGCAGTTATTGAAGGACTTTGGCTGCGTTTCCAAGGTGAGCAGGTGGAGGTGTGTGTGCATCGTGAGCGGAGGAGGAGGATCCTGCAGACACTGGTGTGGTTTGTTGTCACCCTCGTCCTAGCCCTCTTCATCCCAGATATTGGTCGGGTGATCTCTCTGATTGGAGGATTGGCAGCCTGCTTTATCTTTGTATTTCCAGGTAACACCTCCCTCACCCTTAGCAAGCTTTCAGATTTCTGTGCAATTTTAATGTCACACTCTAACGTCTGTCCGATGTCTCTTTAACTCAACAGGTTTGTGTTTGATGCAAGCCAAGCTGTCAGAGACAGACAATCGATCTGCAAGGTGAGCCTATTCTTGGATGTCTTTTATTTTCTTTGGAATTGTTTTGCATGCTCTCCTAGCGATTATGTGTGTGCTTGCATGCCTGGAGTTGGTCCTCGGGTGCGACATTGCTACTCTATAGTCAGTATGGCTGACAGGAGAGGAATTTCCTTGCAGGGATTAGTGAAGTATAATTTAGAGATGCAATATCACACTTTGGCCATTAGGGTGCAGAAAAACCATCAAAAGAAACTATTGCAATATCACCAGCTGCTGGAGTTGTCATGGCAAACTATGAGCTTCACCAATGTGCAACTTCTCTCTGTTTTATATCAATGTAAACTGAATATTGTAAGGTTTGGATTAATTAACAAAAGAATCTGCTGATTAATCGATAATGAAAAGGTTAGATGCAGCCCTAAAATAAACTTAAGATCCCCTCCAACATGTATTAAGACATATAAAATAGTCTGCTTGGAATAATAACGTGTGTCTGATATGTTATCTACTGTAAATACAACTAAATATTTGTGATGTCACAAATCATGCTGGTAGGCCCCGCCCTTTTTAAAATCAGATTTTCACTGAGCGCAGAGAAACTTTCCGCTTTCAGCAGATGAATGTGAACACATCCTTCTACTGTCAAACTCTGCACTTACATCATTCTGCACAGTGAAACTTCACACTGTAGGAACAAGAAGACAAACATTTTTGAGTGAAGGGGGACTTAAACAGTTGGATGTTATCGTCAGTGACTCATTTATGTTAGAGATATTTGACTGTCGGTATAAAAAAAACTTTAATGCAAATTTGAGTAAACCTATTTCCTTAATGAGGATTTTCTTTAATCTCGGTCTCTGTCACAGCTGGCACGGATTGGTGGTCTTCGGTGTTGTCATGGTTACAATCGGAGCTTTCATCTTTGGCCTCACCACGACTAACTCCATCTATCAAGACGTCGTTAGCTAAAATGAACATTTTTGTCGGAGCCAGGGGTGTCCTCGTTATTGAAGACGGAGGGGGGTCCGGGGGGTGCTTAGTCCTGTGCTGCTATACTGAACTACTGGAAAAGATGAAGAAGCATCTCATGACACTCATTTAAAAAAAAAAAAACTCTACGGCATGTCACATCCCTGCTCCATGTTGAGTTGAAGCTCCACAGCTCTTTACTCAGTCAGGTAGTATTCAGAGACACCCCACAATGCCAAGTGACTTCAGACACTTTGCCTTTTAATTTATGTAAAATTTAAATTGCATGTTTTATGTTTTTATGATGATTTTAACTTGCTGTCAGAATGTTTTTTTTAACGGTTTAGCCATCCCGCCAGGGCACAGAGCGGCTTCCCCCGTCTGTAGACCCTGTGTGGATGACACATTCCTGTCCTGTTTACAAGAGCCGAAGGACTTTGTATAGAAAGGCCTTACAATCAAATTGATTTTAATAATGAAATTGTACCAATTTGTGTATTTTAACTTGCATGTAAAAGTAAATGTTTCTTATTGAAAATGACAGGCTGTGGTTCCCAGGTTTAATCCAGGTCCAGACTTTAAATTGGCGCTGCTCGTAGTTTGTCCACAAATGAATCCGAAGTGAGTGATAGGTTTGCATCATTAATGAGTGATATGTTCACTGCAGGGCCGGGCTGTTCAAGTTGATTTATTCATTTCCAGTCAGAATTATATTTTTTAAATACATTCAGGAAATCATTTTGAGTTATTTATGTTTTAGTTTTGTTTCTTATATATTTTTTCTTACATATTTTATAAAGTTAGAAGTACTTTGATGATTTTATAATTGGCTTTAAGGTAAAATTATATTTTAAGATAAGTTTGCAAAAGTGCAAGCCTGCAGGCCTTTGAGATTAGTTGCTCCAATGTGCAGACAGGCTGAAAACCTCAACAGTGCTCCTCCCCAAACACTGCACAGATCAGCAGGATGTCCAAGACGAGCAGCGCCTCCACATTCAGGAAATGAAAAAAGACAAAATCTTTCAAGTGAAAATGAGTCTTTGTGAATGTATGCAAAAAAAAAAATGGATGGAACCTACACAGAATTCAGTTTGCACATCATTTTACAGGAACAAGTTGCTCTTGGTGTACAGAGACAGATTATCTGTCAGTGGGGAGATGTCAATTAGTAAAACTCAGAGGTTTTATTTATTTGAATCAGTACATGACTGCATACTTTGTTTCTACCACTTTTTTCTTTACCAAAAACATGTGTGAGCTTTCTTCTTTTGTCCCAGTATTTAACACTAATTAAAGACGTTAACACAGTTATTGAGATCATTACATTGGATTGTAAGTTAAATTGATTAAATTTGCCAAAATTATTTTTTCAATCAAGCTGCAAATGCAGCTGAAATAAATAATTAAAATAAAGAAAATGTTCAAGGGTTTACAGTGACTTTTATATCTGGTTTTACACTTAATTACATTATTACAGCTAATAATCTTTGGTACGTTAAGCATGTTATGATCCATAATTCAAGCCTGTTTTTATTGTTTATCAAAGTTTGATGAAACCCAGAAATATAAGGTGTAAGGGAAGGAGAATGTGAAAAGGGATTTTTTTTTTTCTTTGGAAAAGCAATTATGTTGCCTTAGTCACACTGTTGGACTAAATACATGGATACATTTACCGTATTATTTAGAGGAAGGGAGGGGAGCTACAGTCAGAGCAGTAATGCTGTCTGTGAACAGAACAAACACTTTGGAGCGTCAGACTGTTTTTATATTAAAATGGCTTGTAATCATTGTTGGAATACAAATAGCTTTTATGGTTTGAGGTTTGATTTTTTTTTTACCTTTTGGTGCTGCAGACAGTTTGTCTGGTCACGAGTGAATGTCAGGTGCACTTATAATTTCTGTCACTGATTTACTCTGTTTTCAAGAATGTACACTTTTTTCATTTGTTAATCTGAAACCATGTGTCCCTGTTGTCTCAAACTGAAAGTTGACTTGCAAACAAAGTTCATGGTAAATTTGAATGGTAATACTTAACAGAACTACCTGTGATGTACCGATAAGTGAACTACAATGAAGGCATGTGAATAAATCTGACAATCCATGATACTGGTGGTTCTTTAATAAAAAGGGACAAATGCAAGTGAAGTAGAACTTTGGATCAAGACAGGAGTAATTTTATTTAAGTTCAGAACAACCAACCATCTGTTATTTACTTTTTCTGAAAATGGTCAATGAAAACAACAAACATCAAGATTTAAGTTTACATCAGTGCCACAGGAAATCGTTTCATTTGATCAGATAAGGTGCAGTCTAAGTATCTGGACAAGGACAGTTTGTTTTTAATTCAGCACATTAGATATGAAATGAATCAAAGCGACTCTGAGCAGGGTTTTCACTTCTATTTCAGGTGAACAGTAAAGGACTTGTAACCTTTTATACATACATTAGTAGTTCCCTAGTTTCAGGACAATACTCTTAAACAAGGCCACCAGAAAGGTTTTAAGGCTAAGCAGAACTGAGGGTACCTTTCACTTACTGAAAACAAGACTGAAGGCACAAAACCCAAAATGAGAAGTGAAGCTGACATAATAAATGTTGAATTGATTATTTTATTCACATTTGTTTGTATTTAATTATTGGATTATTATGGTTCTTTAAAATGACACTGTCTACAAAAGGTTTTATTTCCTACACTATTAGTCCAGTATCGATGTAAACATCCTCAAATCTGGAAGTTTTTCTCTTAAAGTGTTTCATTTCAAATACCATGTGATGCAGAGAAAAGCCAGAACATCATAACGTGTCCGTCTCCAAATACTCACACTGCGGATACTCAATGAACAATACAAATGATAAAAATAAGTGCCCTAACGGTCGTTTTCCCTCCAAAATCATCGTCCCTGAGAAATATGTACCATCTAACAAGTGAAAAGTGCAGGTATATGACACAGCAGTCTCCATTGTGGCTCAGTAGTAGCCATTTGTTATGAAAGACTGGAACATGTGGAAAGCTGGACCTGGAGCCCACTGAGGAACCATGTGACCTGCACCCTGAAACAGAGGAGAGCAACATTTCACAATAATGCAACCATATTATTAACAGCACAACTGTGCTTCTATGGCAGACACTAAACAACACACTGGTGGTTACCTTGACTGTCAGGAAGGTGATGTTTCCAAACTGTTGGTAGAAGCCAGCAATCTGGTCATCGTGAATCCAGGTCTGGTATTTAGTGGTTGCCTGAAAACAATTTATTAGTAAGAAGTGTGTCTGGTTGTAGTTTGGTGGGGAAATAAAACCTCTTTTTTTTTTAAAAATCTTTCCTAAAAAAATTAATAAAAAAAGTTCCTACCTCCAGTCCGAGGTCTTCCACAAACCACTGGTCTCCCAGGAAGTTGCAGGCCATGTCAGTGTCTCCATTGTAGACGAGTGCCCGCAGGCCCAGAGAGATCAGCTTCAGATAGACGTCCTTCACTGTCGAGTACAGGGTGGTGTACTGCTCTCCAACATCATCACTAGAGGAAGAAAAGAGGTAATTATGAGCATGATCAACGTGTCCTTGACCTCCCACTCAACTGCCCAAAGACAAGAGCAGAAAATGCCTCAGCTACAAGTTATTACAGTCAGATTTTAAGACTCATTAGTGACTCGTTATTAGTTTCTGATTAGCTGTAGGTGTTAGCGGTAAGATACCTGCAGAGGTCCCAGGGTGGCAGTGTAGCTGGAATGTGTAAAGCTTTCCTCACGTCTCCTCTGTTCAGCCAGTTCATCTGAGCCGTGCTGTTGATGCAGGGAGGAACTTCACCCAGAGACACGGAGGAAGGCGCTCCATCTGAAAACTTCATTAAAAAAAAGACTTATCATTGATGCTGCACGGCAATAAGAATAATTGGATCCACAGACTCACAGGCATGCGGCACTTGTTCACAGAGGGATATGCTTACCTTGAGGGTGTGCATGTGTTTCCCACAATTTTTAAACAGGTGAATCATGGTCCTCTCGTAGCCTCTGTGGGATCTTCTGCCACCCTCGCAATCCAAGTACAGGGCATACTCATTAAGTCCGCTGTTATACACAATACCAAAGGCCACAATCACCTGAAGGGAGATAAGAACAGAGTGAAATTTGACTGAGAAATGCCAGTAATGCCCAGATTAACTTTGAAGAAATAGTGCACACGTACCAGCGTCTTGCAGGCGTCTGAACTGGAGTTGTAAAAGTTACAGCTCCCCTTTTCACAGCAATTTATGTTCAGATCACGCCACAGACTGCACGTAAAAGACAGCTTTAAAATGACAATCACTGCATCAACTACAGACAGGTAATTTATAACTGCATGGCTTGTTGTCAGTACTTAAATATATGTGCAATGATGAAAAACACTAACAAAACACTAGCACCTGATGACATTGCTTTTTAAACATATTCCCTCAAAGCAAACAAGCTTCCTCTACAACAAGGTACCACTTACTCTTCTCCAAAGAGGCCGTGGTAGTAACCAAAGTAGATCAAACTTTGGTCATTAAGAGCAAAGCTGCTGAGACCATTTCCCACTGCAAAGCCCTGAAAAACAAAATATATCCAAGCTTCATGTTAGCTGTTAAATTAAGTCTGCTTTACTGCAAAAGTCTGTCTGATTTTCACAAATCCACCTGAAGGGCACAATAACATCATTAATCATAAACTGCATTCAGGTGGCGTACTGATACTGGGCAGCTGATGGTGCTGATGAGCTGAACATCAGAGGATACGTTTGCACTCAGTGTGAAGCCTCTCACCTTGAAGTTGATTTTGGCTGCTCCAGTAGCCACGCGCAGGCTGAGCGTTGGTGCATAAATTCCACCATAACTTTCCCCAAAGATGAAGAACTCATTTTGAGTGAAGTTTGGGAACTTGGCAAAGAAACTCTGCAGGGCTTTGTAATTATCATCAGCAACCTAAGAGAGGAACATGTGAAATGAAAAGGCTGTTTTGAAGCTTTTCTTTACTTTGCAAAAAAGGGAAAGTCACTGAACTCACCTGGTCATCGTCTGTGGCATACTTTTTGTCATCAGAGTAGGAAAATCCCACTCCTGCAGGAGACTCTACATACAGCACATTGGCAATCTTATTCCAGCTAAAGGCGTTTTCATACAGTGAGGCTCCGTTATCATTTACCTGAAAACAAAACAATGCCGAGTCAGAATCACTTTCACTCAGTGTATAGGCGTAGTTATTCACAAAGTTATCATGCTTACATGAAATGGTCCATTCTCTGACAGGAATCCATCCAGCGAGCTGCAGCCTGGGCCTCCATTCAGCCAGAGCACCAAAGGGTCTTTGACTGGGTCCCTCTGAGAAGTCACAAACCTGCAGGAGATCAGGGCCAGGGTGAAATACTGCATGCCATACTGAAAGGTCACACACCTGCTGCACACCACATTAAAAGTTCAAACTGGATAAACAACTTTGGCCTTATTCAAAATGACTTACGGCACCACAGATGTGTACAATTGGCAATATTTTTTTTCAAATAAGAGTAATCTTTTGTTGCAAGTATCCAGGTCAGCCTGCATGGTTAATGTGGCCTAGGCCACCTGGATATTTTTAAATATGCCTTTAAAAAAATCCCCGTGTGCACTGTCTATGAGGAAGTCTAAAACAACCCAGGTTATTTGGTTCACATCCTGCAAACGAACGTGTTGTTAAAGCAAACCAGAGGTGGAGCGAGTTGAGGCTTACTGAGAAGCTGCAGAGAGCCAGTCGGCCACTGTTCCTTACCAATAATGGAGAAACTTGCCCTGCCGTGCCTGGAGGTACCCCGACCACTGTCGGTAGTTGGGTTTGAACTTCATACCTGGCAGGTTAGTTACCTCGTCGGGAGCGTACTGAGCCCGCGAGCCGAGCTGACACACGGCCAGCAAACACAGCAACAACACACCGGCAAACATCACTGGGTAAAGAAAGTCTACACAACCCCTGTCATCGGTTTAAGACAGAAACCAGGTTTCTTTGTGGCAGGAACTTCCTTTACGTCCTCAATGGCAGCTCCGCGTGAACCAGTCCAACAGGAAGGTCATATGACTGCTGCTGTGGGCCACGTGACCAGCGCCTGACTCTACACGGAAGTTCAATCAATCAAGATAAAATACTATCAGGAGAGCATTAAATTAACTTTATAAATACATAGAGACATTATAGTTAAACTTTATAATACATAGAGACAATTATGTTAAAAAACTTATATATACATAGAGACATTATATTAAACCTTATAATACATAGAGACATTATGTTAAACTTTAAAATTACAGTAGAGACATTATATTTAAACTTTATATACATAGAGACCATTATGTCTAAAGCCTGTTTATAATACATAGAGACATTATGTTAAACTTTATACATAGAGACATTATTTTAAACTTTATAATACATAGAGACATTATTTTAAACTTTATAATAACATAGACATTATGTTAAACTTTATAATACATAGAAGACAGTTATATTAGACTTTATTATTTAACCTTTATAATACAAATAGAGAACTTTTTTAAAAAAAAAAAAAAATAGATTACCATAGACATTATATTAAACTTCTAAAAAGGTCTTTTTATAATGATATTTGTAGGTTTAAAGGTATCTCATCA